GAGTCTCCCGTGAAAATCGGGAGGGTTGACAAGTATGAGTGCAGCACCTTTGACAACTTCTCTCTACATATCAAACATACCGGTAAACTAGCATCGTTTGCTGTGAAAGCATATAACTCTGTCCACACAGAATTAAATCCTGTGTTCCTCCGGTACTTTTCTTTGATTTATCCATATTTCGCTCATCGAGCCGGGGGTCAGGTTATTCACCCGCAGGAAAAGGCGCTCGCGCGGGACCGTAGCAGGATGTGACGCATATTTTAGTTGACCTAATTAAAACGGTTTTGTTTTTTATTTATGTGTCACAGTATCACCTCAAAATACAAGATACGAAACATTTTCAACCATGCAACAAAATATAAATAGTCCTACAAATACTTTTATTGTATTTCCTTCTTATTTTTGTCTAAGCTCAAGGGAGCCAGAGCAGAGGGCTTAAAGGGCCGCATGCAGCCCGTGGGCCGCGGTTTGCCGACCCCTGGACTAGACCGTCACAAAAATGATCTCTCCGGCTGCCACATAGCTCACTGGTAGAGATGGATGTCCATGTACAGACTTGAATCCGGGCCGGGAGTCCTTTTACACATGTGATCCCCTCTATCTCCCCCATCCATATCTATCTCTCTCTAATAAAGGCTTGACTAGAGGTGTATGGCAGGATTTTTCTTCTTTTGCTTAGTTAAAAAAGTAGGTCTAAACCTCTATAAGAACACAGCAAGTTGTTGCTATGTCGCAAGCAGAGGAAACTACACAAACATTGGCAAAATGACAGAGAAAAACACACAAAACATTTTCCAAGTGGCGAGAAACTTAAAGCAATGATTGTGGTCCTGAGGGATTAGCAGGAGGAGGGTACATTTAGAAATAACACAAAATACCCATAACTAATCTGTTGAATATATTGCAAACTTGGCAAAACTGACTCTTTTGGCCACTCCCCCAAAATAATCATTATTAATGACAACACACAAACATGGCTGATATAAGTACTCATAGCTATCCAGCTGGCAGCGTGGGAAGAAATGATTGCACGGGAAGATTACACGCAGGTAGACAGACAGGTAGGTTGAAGGATGACATGATTGAAAGGTTAATATTTTTGTCAGAGTGTAAAGACAGTTTAAACAAATAGAACAAAATAATTGTTTATAGGTTACCACCCATAGCTTACACCTGGGTCAAAGGAGGAAGGGCCAACAGTAAGAGTGTTTACAAAACGCAACTAATACATCTGAATCATTTTGTTTTCAGAACATTTTGTGATGTGACTACATGTGCAGTAGAGGGAAACAACATGTTTGCAGGCGACTCTTCAACAGGATATGAAAGCTTATCCCTCTTCTCTCCTGCACACACAGACACACTCGCGGCGACTACAAACGCAACATTGATGAGCACCTGGTTGTGTGTGTGTGTGTGTGTGTGTGTGTGTGTGTGTGTGTGTGTGTGTGTGTGTGTGTGTGTGTGTGTGTATGCATCGCCCCGGGCATCAGACTGGTTAAACAACCACGAGATACACGCTGTGGACTTATTTTCTGGAAGAAGAGGCAGCCTTTTGTTGAGCCTGATGAAGCACACATTCCTTTATTGAACGCTACCCAACAAGCCGTTTCAATATCCTCAACTCCAGACAGGCAGTCTCTGAAACCCACGGGCATTCGCAGGACGTATGAGTGTGTGTGTGTGTGTGTGTGTGTGTGTGTGTGTGTGTGTGTGTGTGTGTGTGTGTGTGTGTGTGTGTGTGTGTGTTTGTGCAGCTACATGGAGCTCAAATATCTGCATTGTTTCCTCAGGCTTATCGTCAGAGTCTGAGGAACGATCCGAGTGACACCTCCATCTCAGGACTGTCACACACTCATCTGTTTCTCACTTCTTTCTCTCAGGTACTGGGCTCCTTCTATTATTAGGTTAAAATCAGAGGTGGCATGTAACAAAGTACATTTACTAAAGTAAAAATAATGAATATTTTCAAAATACTAGCTACTCCAGATTTAGATTATTCATACAAAATATAACCAGTACATTATCATATTCATATTCACTATAGGTTCAGCTACCCAGTAGTGTTCAAAAAAGTGCACCATTCAGGAGATGAACACATGAATGCTGCTGTAATGGTTAATTCTGCATAACGAGTACTTTTACTTAAGATAGTTAAAGTATATTTTGATGCCAGTACTTTTGAGCACAATTTATAATGAAGGACTTTTACCCGCAGATGAGTATGTTACACTGTGGTATTCCTTCTATTCGTTGTGATTGGTCAACCTCTTAGAGATGTCCCGCCCTTCAGCCTTTCACGTGCAATATGTTGGAGCGCTAGCCAATAGAAGCGTGAGTGTTACATCGTAATGTCGCTATGTTCCAGAAGTAAACAAAGGAGTCCAATGGAGGCGTATCCGACAGGGAGACATTTGGGAGTATAGCCTTTGCAGACCATTTACATGCACAACAACCTATATGACACACTACAGTGAAGAGAAACCCCCATGGGATCCTTTACATTAAAGAATGGAGTCACTTGTCCACCTCTGATTACAATTGTCATCCCCTCATCTCAACTGCTGATTGAATGTCTTATTCTTTTCCTTCTCCAGCTGAACTGTGACTCCGACCCGTACCGTGAGTTCATGCCTCTGGAGTCCTCCTTCCTGATCACAGTGGTTTGTGCCGAGTCGGACCTGTGTCCTGCAGGCCTGCAGTGCCCCAATCAGACCCAGCAGCACTCATTACACACATGCTGAGGAGGGTTTGTTTTCTAGTTTTATATTTAATGGATTGTCTGATAAGACAAACTATCCGCTGCAGAACCTAAGCACACTGTGATTGTTTACAAAAAGTTATTACAAACATGTTATTAAATATAACAGACATTTATGGTGGCCTTTTTTGGTATCAATAGTTGTTGTTCATGTTTGGATTTTTTATAAATTGCACAAGTTCAATTTGTTTCACAGATCCACTTTATACAAACAACCTGAAGCTCGGTTACATGCATTGATCTCCTTTCATTTAAAACTAAGTGTTTAAGGACCATCAGTCGCATTATGTTGGAGGAAATGCAGAAAAATAGGGGATCATACACACATCTTTTGGGATTGCCCAGTAATTGAAGGGTTTTGGAAATCTGTTAAAGAGGAGATTAAAAACATCCTGGAAATGACTGTTCCTCTGGAGCCCATGTTGTTCTTGCTCGGGGTTATACCTACAGACCTTTACGATTCAGACCAGAGGTACATATTACGGATACTGTTATTAATTGCCAAAAAGATTATAACTGTGAACTGGAAAAATGCAAAATCTCCGACAATCATTCAGTGGAAGCACAGACTTAAACAAGTCTACACGATGGAAAAAATGACGGCGAGCCTGCAGATAGAAATGGACTCTTTTACCCAAAGATGGAACTGTGTTAATGAACTATATATCGCTGGATGTATCGCTGTGAAGAGGAGGTTGTTGAAAACTGAACCCGAAGCTTTAGATGATCTAAGGGGAATTGAGTCGCCTGTGTAACTGATCCCTGCTTGTCCAAAGATGTGTCAAGGTCCCTGTGTAACACATGACTTATCATTGAACCTATTTATTTGATTTGTACTTTTATTTATTTTTCAATATGTGCTAGTTTAATTCTGCATTATTTATATTATTTAACTACTCCTTATTTCAATTTATACTGGATATTGCTTTATTTCAATATTAACCACATCTTTCGCTTTGTTG